AAAGTTAGGAGTAAATATTACTTAGTGACCGATTTTAATACATTGAGTGGTTGATGGGTTAAAATCAACATGGTGGTGGGGAGTTGAACAACTCTTCTTTAAAAAAAAATAAAAATTATATATGTAAATAATTATAATTAATTTAATTTACATGGAATAAAATCGAAATACGTAGCGGACAATGGATATGACTGATGTCCTTTTAATTTAGTAAGCGTCTTAATCGAAGACTTGCTACGATACATATAATTTACGAAAAATACTATATGTGCTCACATTCTCTATTTTTAATTTTTATTCTCACATTTAAAATTTTGATGTAAACACTTTTAGCGGGATTCACATGAAAAAAATAACATATCAGCACCCACCACAGTAAATTTGAAGGAGTAAAATTTGAAAGTACATATAGTAGAACTCATAATTTACATGGATTAACTATTGTCGTTTGGATTTTAAAGAAACATATAATTTAGGAAAATTTATAGGCAATCCAATCACTTAAAATTGAAATCGAATGATGTACATAGGTTCGGCCCTAATACCAAATTAGATCATGTAATTTGCCTCAACTAAAAATTAAAATTGATAACCAAACTACGCACTTATACTCTATATATTATATGCTCAACAATTGAATTACCATTACATGATGAACATTCATAGGCAGGAATATTCATAATAATATGAGCTAATTCTAATTTTAATCTTTCGATTATAGTATCTTTTTGTTTATATTTTATTCTTAAGTTCAAAATTGATTTTTGCCGATTGTAAATGTATTACTTTTAATTTGTTGTATCAAATCTAATCAATTTTGAACCCAAATATAAAAATTATCTCTAATAATAACAACAACAAAGTGATGACTGAGTGAGTTGAACATGATTCTTACACTATAATTTATAAAATTATTATATAAAAATAAAATTTACTCAGTACTCACTCATGATAATAATTATGGTTTTCCTACCTTATCATCTAATAAATAAATAAGAATAACAACAATAATTCATTAACTAAGTGTATGAGATAAGATAGCCATTATTATATATAGTTTCTAATTTCCCAATATGAAGTTGTGGCTGATCTTATACCATGTATTATGTACTGACCTAACAAAGCCACTATACATGGGGCAGTGGACGGGCCCTATATATATATATATATATATATATATATATATATATATATATATATATATATATATATATATATTATTTATTAAAGATGGTATGAAAACAAATAAAAAATGCAGACTAGTGTTTTACTATATAATAAGTGCATCTCCTTTCAAAAAAAATATAATAAGTGCATCTTATGATACATAAAAATACATTTAAACATTTGAGATTCTAAAAAATACATTCGATGATAGATTTTTTTTTTTTTTTTTTTTTGGGGGGGGGGGGGGGGTTGGGGGGGGATGTTGGTTAGCATATATGATTGTAACTTGTCTAATTAATGAATATTGTTAAATGAATTGATGAGTACTTAAATAAGTTGCTAAAATGTGTAAATCAATCATTATTGTGTCGATCATGATCTACACAGCTCTGTGGACTATAATATCAAATAATATACTTTTAGTATATTAAAAATGTGTATTGTATTCAGGAAAAGTACATTATTTTGTTTAATATATATTCAGTATACAAATAATGTACTTTTAGTATATTAAAACCGTACGTTTTGTTATGATTCACATAACACTGTGTAGACCATGGTCCACATAACACTATGTGGACCATTTGCCTAGAAAAATACTTTACAATAAAATCACTTTTAAGACATCATTTAGTTAGATTAATTTGACAATTTTAACTCAACATTTTTATGGCTCCAACACTATTTAAAAAAAAAAAAAAAAAAAAAAAAAAAAAAAAAAAACTCAAGGGCCCAGATTGCTTCCTGATTGATGAACCTGCAACACCATACATGAATAATAAATTCATGAACCTTTTGAAATTCTTAATAAATGTTACTCTATACACACACATATATGTGTGAGTGCTTCCTATTTTGTAATATTGCTGAGAGCACAATAGGGGGCATCCAATGTGTACCCTATAAATGCTTAGTCATTAATGGGGTACCCTTGTCTTGAGGGCACCACATTATCCATTCATCATCTAATGGTAATTCTTCATCATACAATTGGATATATCCAATAATTGGATGGGATTTCCACCTAATTTTGTAACATTTGGTTTCATTTGTATCAAACTTGTGATATTATTTATTACCTTTTATAATCATTAGAGCAACATTAATGGTGGGTTTTTTTTTAATTACCTTGATTTTCCAACTTTGTCGAACTATATTCTAAACCCCATGAACTCATTCATAGGCTCATGACGATGTAAGTTGAGTCAATATAGTTTCAAGATTCAACATCAAATTGTACACTTCTGCATACAAAAAGCCCAAACCAATCAAAAACTCTCAATATTCGTGGCAAGAATCGAACCATCATCCTACTGTTGTAAATTAAGTGACTTTCTTTAGAGTATTTTCCTCGAATTTCAAAAAAAAAGTTATAAAAAGATTAAAAAATAATAATAATAATTCATGATGTTAGTGCGCAAGCACCATGCCCACATAGGCGATTGGGGTGGTTCCGGGTAATTAAAAAAAATATAAAACTTGAGCTAAAGCCCATCCTTAATATCAATCATACATAGATTGGTGAAAAATCGTATTGAATAATACAAGATTTATCTGCATTTATTCCTAACCATATATGTAACTACATGAATTAGTTCCACTTAGCCCAACAACTATAACAATATAGCAACTCTACCACTTTTTAGTTTTGACCTATACATTTATTTTGGATATATAGCATATGCCATATGGTATCTCCACCACTATCAAACTAATATGTATTAAGTCTAGGTTATGTTTACAAAATTAGACTATTACTCATGTAAGGCTTGCTCCATAACTTTTTAACATGATACATATATAAGAGTTGATCATTTGACCTTACAATTACAATAACAACAATATGATATATTTACCAGCTGCTCTAAGTTGTTGATCGAGTTCAAATAAACAAAATTGAACCCAAAATGTTTTCATTTGAAACAGGACAAGCCTTAACAGAACTGATGGACACATTTCAGACGTTCTGAACTTAACACGCTCGATCAATAACTAGAGTTGAAAGGTGAAAAGTTGAAGGTAAGGTAGTTAAAAGCATGGACATTGGACCCAAAGCAAGCAATACCATGACTTTAGGAAGCAAAGCAAAGAAAACCCCATGTTTGTTACATGTGGATATTGTCTTCAACCCATGTGCATTTATGTTAGTCCTCAGTCCCTACTACCCTACCCCAGTTTTCTTTGTGCAGCAATCAGCATTCCAACTTATTGTTTGGCTCTACTCAATCCTGGGCAGGGGCTGGGGGGTGGGATTGGGTCCTTTCAATCCACTTTATACAACCCCTTTTTTCTCTTGAATAATAAGGTGTAGCTATTGGCCAGAGTTAGTTGTCACATGAAATCATAATGCATGTGCTCTATTATTCTTTTGATGATGAAATTCTTTGATTAGAAGTCATTTCAGTGCATCCCAATGTGACAAAATTAAAGAGTTTGTTCAGTTGATAAGGATTTTTTACCTTCACCCATGATCAATGTTTAGACTCATTATGATATCCCCTCATAATTTTGCCAATTATAAATCAATACTTGTGCTGGCTTGAAATTTTGCATAAGGTACAATCACATATGTTCTTGACGTTGTGTTAAATAGTAACAGTACCTAGTATACATTCGATTTAGACATCAGCCTTTTGCATAAGGTATAAGAGCATCTCCAATAGGGTTTTTTTTTAATGATTTTTAAAACAGTAAAAAATTAAGGTTGATTTTTATTAAATGTGGAGAGTGACTTTTGGTTGGATTTTTCTCCTCCGGTGAATGATTTTTTGTAGGACCAACCATGAGAGAGAAAAGGGAAAACAAAGGCAGATGGTTGCGCGTGGAGCGCATGAATCGCGCCTACTGGTTGCCATTGACACCTGGTATAGACACTAGTACTGATTGGCCATTGGGGACAATCTATATCAAGTTGGTCAGATAATTGGCATAACCACAAAGACACTCAATATAGACACCAGTTGGCATAACCACAAAGACACCCGATATAGACACCAGTTTTTCTCAGCTATGACAACCTAGGTCCTTTGTTGGTTAAGGTCAGAATGTAGACTTCACCCCATGTACACTTTCGAGTAGTGACGACAGACTTTTCCGTAGATCAAATTACTAATCATATATTGTAGAGTTTCTATATAATTTTATCTAAAGCATAAATGAAGTTGTAAGATATGTTTTAGAGTAAATACCCAAAATGGTCCCTCGACTATAGCTAAATTCTCAAATTGGTTCTTGACTCTCAATTTTAACTAATTAAGTCCTTAACTTTGCAATTTTAACACGATTTGGTCCTCCGTCTATTTGACTGTTTGTTGACTGTGATTTTTGAGGATATATATGTAATTTCATGGTCCATCGTCGATTTTTTAAGGTTTCGGTTGCATTTTCAGACCGCACTGTTACATTTGGATCCGCCACCGAAAGCAATCTGCCAAATCCTGTCGCATTTCTTCTTCCTCCCTTTGGATTCAATGTAGTTGAGTTCGTACCAGAGTGAAAAAGACAACGTGTTTCCGGAGTTCGTACCAGAGTGAAGAAGACAACGTGTTTCCGAACCGGTGCAGCGTCATCCTGGAGGCTTCCATGTGCTCTGATGAGAACTGCAGGTTATTCTGGAGATCGTCGATGACGGCGCGGGCGCGGACGTTAATGCAGAAGTGTTCGAATGACCAAATCGTGTTAAAATTGCAAAGTTAAGGACTTAATTGGTTAAAATTAAAAGTCGAAGACCAATTTGTGAATTTAGCTATAGTTGAGGGACCATTTTGTGTATTTACTCTATGTTTTATTCAAAAATGTTACTTGTATCAAAGTTTGCACAATTTTGGGCATACCTCAAAAACAAAAATTTATAATATTTAAGCAATAATTTTATGCACACAAGAAGTTGTATAATATAATCCCTTGTGGATCTATTGTTTAAGGAAAATCATAGATTCACAAGGCTGTAGTTCCAAGTTGTGTAAATAAGACAAAGAAACATTGGGAGGTCTCACACTCTCACCCCAAATGATATCAAAATTAGGACAGTTGGAGTAACCATAGACATTAAGGACAGTTGGAGTAACCAGCCTCACTACCATATATAAACAGCTTATGTTCAGGGAAGCCTCCACTCTATGCACCTCTCCCAACTATACTCTCCCATGGATCAATTATAACGGGCGCTGTGTGGGCCCTGCATGACTCCCGCAAACTGAGAAACACTCAACAGCAAGCAGAAGCCTCGATGATCAGATTTGTAAACCTCGGAAGCAGCTAATAGACTTTGTAACGTTGCAGTAATGCTTTTGATGGAAGGCATCAAGAAGCGATCTCTCCTTCCTCTAATTCTTCTTCTGCTGGCAAAGTGTCACCGAAATCTGCCCAATTTCCTTCACTGAGAAATTTTTCATCAGCCAATGAACCCCCGAAATCAAGATTGCCTTCGGGATTAGCTTCTGCAAAAAGTTCAGCAGCATATGAATCGATTAACTTCGGGTCGAACTCGAAAGCCATGTTGTCAAGAAAAGCCAAATCCATGTCCCTCGACTCCTCTGCATTAGAACACATATCTAAAACTGGTGTGGCTCCTTGGTCTCCTCTTATGCCATCTACCGGCTCGCTGAGGTGTTGTTCTTCGGTTCCCTTTTCCTCGAGTTCTATATTGGTGTGGTGTATGAGGTCTGAGACGCGAGGATCTGAGGAGTCGCCATCTTCTATCTCCTCCTCTTTAAATGTCACTCCTTTGTGACTTGGGCTATAATTATTAACAAATTCCTTAGGCTTTACTTGACGAGGAATAGACTCTTTCATAACTTCAAACTCAACGTTGTGTGATGGAAGAAAGACGTGAACAACAGGGTATTCTAAAATAACTAAATTGGAAAGTTGTTGGCGTAATGGGGCGTTTATATCCAGCTGACGATAAGGAGCTTTCTGGCCCTGCATTTAAAAAAAAAAAAAAAAAATCAATTTCCAAGGCAATAGGGGCTTACAACTACAAAACAATAATAGTAAAAAAGGCAATTTAGGAAATACTAGGAATCTAGGATGGCAACCAGTAGGGGAGTATACTCCCCGTCCCCGTCACCGTCACCATCCCCAAAACCCTGCACCACTCCCTGACACTGCCGGGGCAAAGAAATCCTTCCCCATCCCCGTTCCAACATGGAATTTTGAGTGACGGGAAATCCCCATCCTTGGTTAACCCCTATTCAAACTAGTAAAATTATCAATAATATTCAACTCGCCACTTCGCTCATAACCGAGGGACAACTCGGAGGGACTGAGTCGAAACTTGGTTATAACTCAGGGACTAAAGATGCAATTTTCCCTTAAAAATTTTTATCTTAAAATATTTAAATCATTATTGAATCCTCAATGAGGACCGAAATACCAAATACAAAATGAAAATAGTCTTCATGCAAAATTACAAAATGTCAACATATCCAAATACAATACAAACAATCATTATTCTTCAACTTTATATATATAAGAAAATCAGGGATGGGGCAGGGAGGGGTATTCCTGTCCCTGTTGGGGTGAGAACAAGGGATCCCATTGGGGTCGGGTGACATTGTCATCCCCAGAGTACAAATCTTTGTATGGTAAGTATTAATCAGATGTAACACGTGCTTAGAACTTAACAAAGGAAGGCAGACAGTTGAGTACACTTGGAAAACTAAAGGGCATCGGAACATGGATAATTAAACAAAGCAATGCTCATTAAACTACTGTAAGCGGAAAGCTAGTTTTTGCTTCAAAATGGGTCAAATAATAAAGTTTCATTTTTTAATGGAGTTACAAGTCATGGCAATCATAAGGAAAATCCAGTTAAGTGTGAGAAAGCAACATAAAACATAAATACAATAAGGATGTGGGCATATTCGACCGCAAGTAGAATAGAACCATCCAAAGAATGTCTAGAAGACAAAAACCTTGTGAAATTTCCGGATGAAAAGTTTAAGAGAATCCATGGGGACTTCGCAAAATTGCTTCAGTGGATGCTTCCAGGGGCCAGGTTCTAGATGTTTCTCAATCAAAGTGCACAGCTTTGTGTTTTCATGTACACTGCAGCAGAAGTAATTATACAATCAATACAGTTATATCCATGGCCATATAAACACAATCCATCAAAAATACAACTCAACGGTTCTCAATATTAACAATCATCAAAAAGAGATGTTAAGGAATCTTACCCATGATCCATTAATACAACATCAGTCGAATGGAATTTCCACTCAATAGTCCATGATATATACTTCTTTCTGGGAAGTAAATGACAGCTATTGTAAGTATATATACAAAATAAAATTATAAAAAAAAAAAAAAAAAATTCTACTACCTACCTATTACTCTAGCTAACTAATGAAACTATCCACAATTCAAACTACCTGTTGTTGTAAAAAGTTTGGTTTTTCTCCCTCTTTGACATCCCACCAGAGAGAAAGAGAAGCTTTGTCCTCCGGCTATTGGCCGCACTTCTAAGACTTTTGAGAGGGAAAGGAAGCCTGAACTGAGGATACCCACAAAGCTTGTATCTCATTCTTCTAGCAGAATCTGCAACCCTCTTTACATCCTCTAGCATGTTGTAATCTGCAGGCAAACCAAGACTTCCCATTTTAGTAGTCAGAATAAAGTAAACCATAACTTCCCTGGAACCAATCACCTATGAAGTTATTTGTGCCAAAAGCACTAAAGTGATAATAAATTCACTGAATAAACAAGAAAATGCGAAAAAGAAAATCTTGGGAATTGGGAGAGAACCTTAATGGGCAAAGCTTTGAATAAACAAGATAACCAAGCGGCTAACAGTATAAAGACTACAACTTCTTGTAGATTAAAAGAAAAACGTAAAGCGAATCCTCGAAGTATCAAAGTGGGGGCATTGAAATTTGACCTGATAATAGGAGGTTATCGTCGAACTGGGAAATGGGAACGACGTCGTTGAAGGGCTTCTTCCCGGTGCAACCGGACCTCTCTTTGTGAGCTTTGACGCAAGGAAGACTGCAAGTCCGGCGAAAGCATCCCGGGCACTTGTATTTCCATGGCTGCAATTTGCACTCTTCGCACTGAGCTGCTTCTCCTGCTTGGTCCTCCATTCCCCCTCTAAGCGGGTTTAGGGTTTTACCGTTCATATATCAGGAAGCATCGTTGCGGGCCGGGTCTTGTTTACTGAATGATGAAAAGGAGCGAACAGGGTAGAGGCAATTCTGAGAAGAAGTAGAGTGGCAACGGTGCAGATAAACTGAGCCAACCCGGTGGATACCCGTTTTGGAATCTGTTGGGCTTAGAAATTGTAGCCCAATTTTATGATCTAATTAGGCTCAATTCAAATTAATGGGATAGTTATGCTCAGCATCCATATGCACCATGCATGGTGCATACGGATGCCAAAACGACGTCGTTTTATTAAAAAACGCGCGTCTTCCCTTTAAAAGAAATTCAAGTTCGATTTTCAACAACAACATTTTATTGTTCATTCATTCTGGAATTTTAGTTCATAGATTATGGAATTATAGTTCATTGATTACGGAATTATAGTTCATCGATTCTGAAATTTTAGTTTATAGATTATGGAATTTTAGTTCATTCATTCTGGAATTTTTAGTTCATAGATTAGATTATGGAATTATAGTTCATCGGTTATGGAATTATAGTTCATCGATTATGGAATTTTAGTTCATATGTTGTTGCTGGGAATCGAACCTGAGATGTTGAAGCCCATAGAATTCTTGTTTCTATCCATTACATCCAACCACAAGGGTCAAACAAGCTACTCCCTACTCGAAAAGGGTGACCAAGTGGATAGAGTATAATTCTCGTATCAGAATGTTACAAATTTAAATGTTCAATTCTTGCTAACATCATCTCGGTCAAGCCCATCGCACATAACCTTTTAACATAGTTGCAGTAAGCAATCGGGGCTAGTCGATCGGGTGGTAAAGTTGCGCCTAGACGGCTAACTAGAAAAAAACAAAAAACAAAAAACAGCGTAAGCATGTTGGTTTATGTCACACACACACATATACATACATACATAATACATACATACATACATACATACATATATATATATATATATATATATATATATATATATATATATATATAATAATTAGCAAGGTTGACTCGCCCGAGTTCTCCGTCAACTCGACCAAGTTAGACGCCTAGGGGCTAAGGCGGCCGCCTAAGCCGATTTTTGCAATAGTGCCTTTTAGTGTAATTTTCATCTTTTATGTGGTTTGTCGACTATTAAACATGAGCGAAATTTACTTAGTACACACTCTTGAATAGTGGTTTAAACTTTTCCTTGTCAATTTAAAAGCTCCTGGTATAAAATTCTTATTATGTAAAATTAAATGTATTGTACTTGATTCAATGAGCAATTCGTATTAGTATTAATAGTATACACCATTCTTGCATGCGTTTTACTAGATTCAATGAGCAATTCGTATTAGTATTAATAGTATACACCATTCTTGCATGCGTTTTACTTATTGATTTAGTATGTAGTATTTGAGATAATAATAGTATACAACATAACTAAATATGTCATGTTTAGTCATATTTGACACTATTAACATTAGTAATGCCTAACAGCCAGAGCCGATTTTGAGCATGTCTAACATGAGCGACCGCACAGGCTCCCCCCCCCAAATTTTTGGGGGCCCCATATTTTAAAAATAAAACTATAGGTATATATAGTAATAATAGTATTTATTTTATATAAAGAAAATTGAGCCCAATTGCTTTAAAAACCTAAAAACCGTATCTATATATATAAGGACAATTAGGTCATACTATAAGGACATTACCAAAACTGCAATTCGGCAATTAAATTTCCTAATCCAAATTCTCAAATCTCAATTAGGCAATAGCATGTTCAGAGTATAAGGAATTAAAGACATTTTCAATTTCGCAATTTGGCAATTCGAAACCCTATAAACTATGTACCAGTACCCTAATAAATTGGGCAATTCGCAATTGGCAATTCAGTAGATCGCAGAGCGCATCTCAACGGTTTCTTCAATTATTCTTGATCACACAATTTTTCAAGTTCTAACTCCCCTAACAGGTAATTAAAATTACATATTTTTCACAATTTTTGTTTATTGTCTTATTGACATGGCTTAATAATTCTGAATTCAGAATAATATATTTAAGATTTTGTTTATTGATTATTTATTTATTTATTTATAGAGTTTCTAAATAATTTTTTTTTCTATATGATTTTATAATTATGTCTTTTGGGTTTGATAAGCGTAAAAAGAAAAGAAAAATTGGGCAACTAACTCAATCTCAAAAGGGAGTTATTGAAAAATTCATTACAAAACAAACTCAAATAGATGAGCAAAAAGATGATGCCAATGAAAAATTATTAGATGTTAATCTTCATATAGAAGATCAAGATGATTCTGAGATTGAGAAAAATTTGAATGATAGTGTGCACAATGATGATAGGAATCACAGTGACAATGAAAATAATATGAATGATGATAGTTGTTTAGATGATGTTTGTCGCAAAGATAAACAAAGTGATTCGCTTTTATTTGACATATATGATCCAAGAAATTGGGATGCCCTTAATTCTAAATTAATAAATATTCTTGCGAAAGATAGTCCTAAAAGAGATTTATCAATAAATAAAGGTCTTAAAGATAAATTTTCTAGAAGATTTTTGTCAGCATTTTATACAAGATATTTGCGTCTAAATGTGCACGACGCATGTCGCTTTTTAAATAAAATTTTAGATGTATCTTTTATGCAATGTTTATATGTTAATACAACTTTTTGAACAGCATAACTATTATTTATATATAGAAATTACTTATGAAAAATGGCCCAAATTATGATATTGCAACGGCCCTGCTAACCGCCAATAAAATTTGTATGGTTTAAAAATAGTTTAACTATTAATTAGTTACAACTCAATATAGTTATAGACATTAAAAGTTTTATTTTACTAAGTATTATAATTTAATATAAATTTGTCAATGCAATTTTCAATAAATGTAATAATATTATAAAATCCATATGATGCATCGGAAAATATTTGTATTAATCTAACTTTTTTCCCAATTTTTTTTTTTTTTTTTTTTTTGGATAACATAATTTTGCAATAACTCAAGTTTTAGTTGCACAAAGGTATAAAATGAGTATTACTCCGTATATTATTATACATATTAGTAATTGTCTCATGCACGGATAATATTTATAGACTATTTAAGTATATTGAATATTAACATTTATTCAATGTTATAATAAATTATTTATTAACATTCACTGTATGATTAATTGTGAAATTATTTATTTGTTATTCTCCTTTTTAAAAATAATTATTATATTTAATTATTAAGTTTGCATCACCTGTTATTTTTTATTTTTAAAATTTTTAAATTACAAAGTATGCCAACTTATAGATCTAACATATTGCAATTAAACACTAACAAATAAAGACAACAACTAAGATGGAATACTCTATCTCATGAAATTATATTAAGAAAGAATCACTAATAAAAAAAATAAATGAAATATATTAATATTAATTATTATTAATCATAATATATTAATATTATTATTAACCCTAATAATATTACTATTATTAGTAGTATTAATATTATTAATACTTTTTATTAGTCCACTAATCCACTACTTAATTAATGTATACACATTAATTAATGTTATGAGTCATGTATGCAAATTGTATATAATGATTCTATATACCAAATAATAATATTACTATTAGTAGTAGTATTAATATTATTAATATATTTTTAGTAGTTCACTAATCCACTACTTAATTAATATATACAAATTAATTAAAGTTATGAGTTATGTATGCAAATTATATGTAATGATTCTATATACCAAATTTAAGGTAATTTAATTTTGTTAAGTATTGTAATGTTATGTTGACTGATTTCAAATTTCAAATTAATTTTTTTTATTTTTTTGTCTACAATGAGTGGGCAAATGACACTTTTGTTTTAATATATATATATATATATATATATATATATATAGATATAGATTACACTATATTAAAGTTGTGCCATATAACATGGTGCATGTAATTTATGATTGTACAATAATACAAATTAGCATGTGTCATTTTCTTTTATTTTTTTCCGATAACAATACAGAAGAAACCAAAGAAACAAAACCTAACTACAAACTTTAGGTTGGGCAACCCCTGTTGCATTCTCAACAAGCAAGGATCCAACCCCTTTAAACTTTAAACTTTAAAGGGGTGTGGGTCATTAAAGAATTTGCAAATCTAGAGCACTCATGTGATGCAAAAGAAAATTAATAAGTGTAAATAAAAGATATTATTTATTTGGTCAAAAATATTCATTTTGTTATATTTTGTAAAATTATTGTTGTCATGCACATGCATTCACCATATCTTTTGTATCGTATTCAATGATAAAAATAATAATATATAACCATTATATATTGGAGTGCTATAAGTTATTTCATGGAATATAAATATCAAATTTATAAAAATAGTTTACATTATTATTATTATTATTATACAGCAATATAAATATTTAAAATAAAAATAAATATAATAATTGAATATGGAGCACTAATATTGAGTATAGATTTTTGCACATCGCACATAAAAAATATTAGTAAAGATAATAAGTACGAAATATTTTTTTATTTGATTAATCCAAATTTTGCCACACTAATCCTAAGTTCACATGACCTTTTCGCCATAGAGTTACTACATAAATAAATCGTGAACCACTAGTCAATAAATTTAATTATTGTCAACATCTCTTATCGAGCATGTCTTGTTAGAGTCATTCTAGTACAATTTTCATTTTTTTTGTATAATTTATAGTCTATTATACATGAGCATAGTATATATATTCAATACACAGGAATTGGTATAATTATTACTCTCTCAAATAAGAAAATATTTATTTTAGTATAATCTCTAATGGGAATTATATAATCTCATCTAAATTCTTGGCAATTGGTATTCCTAAAAACCACGATGCAAGAAAATACAATCACAAGATACAAAATCAGCGCATAAAGATTTTGCATTTCTCGAAATTTGATATTTTATTCCTGTAATTGTTGGTGGTGGCACTGTGGCCAAAAGTGTCTAAGAGGTTAACATCCAAACGCCATAGCTATCATCATCTTCTTTAATACCTTCCGTCTCGCCATTGTCTCTCCTCTGCGAGTCCAAACCCCAAGGCCTGTACGATTCACATTGCTGCCATCTTTACGACTTTACCCGATCTGACGCCTGCTTTTTCAGATCTCCCACCCACTGTCTGCGAATCAGTGAAGCTGCTTCAATGGCATCTCTGTGACTTCCCTAGTCCGTTTCCGCCACTTTATTGATTCAATCCAATTTGGGTTGGGGCTGTTTTACTGACAAGGTACTGTCTTTATTATCGTTTTATCTGTTTTCCATTTTGGGATTTGAGTGAAATTGTGGTTTGATGTTGGGTTGGTTATGGACTGAACGGGAGAAGAGGAAATGGAGAAGGGTTTAGGTGGATTGGGTGCAAGATCTTGAGATTGGTTGATTTGATCTCTTTGATATTTATTGAGATCGATCTGCTTGATTCATCTAAATCTTTGATCCAGTTGTTTTTGTCTGTGTTTGTGGCTTTGTGCTGCTGGGTTTTATGCATCTGTAATTTATTTATGTTAAATGATATGTTGCTTGCTTGCTCTTTAGCTGGATGGCTTAGTTATATGCTTAACAATTTAGGCCCATGGATTCAATGGTTTAGTATTGTAGCTTATGTACATGGATCTGCAACTGTAAGCACATTGAATCTCAAATGAAATTTCAGATTATATGCATTTGGAGGGTTTTGCAAAAGAATCAGATTTCAATTTCATAAGGGATTTAATATATTTTTACTATTTTCTTGTGGATTTTCATTTTTTTTAGAGTGCCAACTGTCTGTGCTTGTACTTAATAGGAGAATGCAGAGTTTATGTTGAAAGAAAAATCTGCATTTAGATATGTTTGCAAAAGTTCTCCTCACTTCATTTATTAGTTACTTTTATGGTTTCAAAGTGCTTTAGTTTCAGCAATGCATCATTAAATATACAACATAAGAACAAATATAGAAGATGCTTAGGCTGGGTGTGGTGTGCAATTACTTGTCTATTGAGTATGGGTTTATGCCTTGGTTGCAACATCCATAGATGGATGAGGAAAATACTTACCACTGATGGAAAGGAAAAAAGGAATTTTGGAGGTCTAAAATTAGTTGAAAGATGGATGTTGTATTTCCTCCACGATATGTTTTTTTTTTTTTTTTTTTTTTTTCTTTTGGCTTTATGGATGCCTAAGTTTGGCTAAGGCTGAAATCCCGGACATTTGGTGTTTGGTGGTGGTCAAGAATATGTTTTGTTGATTGGTTAAAGTGAAACTAAATTCGGAAGCAAGTGAAAAACACTGGTTCAAAAGGAACGTTCAATTCCCTTTTCCAGCTCATCATTGACTGTCTCAATTCCTTCTTGCACAATTTGATCCGCAACCTTACATATTGCAGTTAACCAATTAAAGCACTTCATACTGCATCTTGGATTGTGTAGAAAGCTATTACAGTTTTTGTTTTTCTTTGTCAAAGGGACAAATAATTCACGTGCTCGACAAACACAAGAAAAAGAAAAAATGGATACTCTTAACTCAATTGTATAGTATATTTCCAGTATTTGGTTTTGGTATGATTAGACATGGCATTCATCATGGTTCTTCGATTTTTCAAAAAGTCTTGCTGATTCTTCTATACGCCCCTTGTTTTCAGTGTATTGTCTATTCAGAACTACAAATCATGTGGAGGTTCAAGCCTTTCACGGCTAAGGAACAGACTGGGCTTGAAGGCCGCACCATTGATATTGGCAATCTCAAAGTTCAAGTTCGCAACATAATAGCAGAAGGCGGATTCTCTTGTGTTTATCTGGGCCGAGATGTAATCCATGGCTCAAAACAATATGCGTTGAAGCACATCATATGTAATGATGAAGAATCTATGGACCTAGTGTTGAAAGAGATCAACGTCATGAAATCACTTAAGGGGCATCCTAATATTGTTACACTTTGTGCCCATTCTATCTTCGATATGGGACGCACTAAGGAAGCTCTAATTTGCATGGAATACTGTGAGAAATCTCTGGTTAGTGTACTGGAGGGCAGAGGATCCGGTTATTTTGAAGAAAAACAGATCCTGACAATTTTTAGAGATATATGTAATGCAGTCTTTGCTATGCATTGCCAGTCTCCCCCTATAGCCCACAGGTAATATTTACCTTTATGTGCTCAACTGCACTCGTAACATTCATGCTTCAGATATTTTAACATATTTTCTCATTTTTGGTTTCTTTTAAAATAATTCAAGGGGCAACTCCGCTTATTTTCATTTACTATTTACGCCATGTAGTTCCCCATTCTAGCATTATGCTTATGCCGTCCTTTTATCTTTGGTGCAGTGCAAACTCTTGAAGTCTTGAAACCCTTTTTTCCCTTTGTTTCTACCCCTTTTTTGCCTAGAATTTTGGGTGTATAGTGTACCATTTGAAATTGTAGAAAATGTGGTTAGCTATAGATTTCAATTTTTGTTGTTTTCTACAATATCTTTTCTTTTTCTTTGCCAAAGGCCTTGTGGTCGAGCGGCATAGCTGTGGCCTCTCAAATGAGATGTCTCAGACTCTCAGGTTCGAACCCCAGTGTGGGGGCATTGACTCTTTGTGCTTCAGTAGGTTGAGAAAGTAGTCAATAGTATTCAAAAAAAAAAAAACTTTTCTTTTTGTGAATGTTGATGCAAGTAATGGCAATCAATTTTCATTTTCCGAAACTAAAAACTTCATTTTTCTAATCTCTAGGGACTTGAAAGCGGAGAATCTTTTGCTAGGTCCTGATGGGCTATGGAAGTTGTGTGATTTTGGTAGTACATCTACCAATCACAAGCGGTTTGAGAAGCCCGAAGAAATGGGAATTGAGGAAGACAATATTCGGAAACACACTACGCCTGCTTACAGAGCCCCCGAGGTTGACGGCTTGTTGGTTGGTTACTGTTATCTCTGATCTTATCATTTATGGCTTATATCTTCTTTTCTTATCTCAGATGTGGGATCTGTACCGAAGGGAACTGATAAACGAGAAGGTGGACATATGGGTAAGTTAAAAATATGACAAACCGACAATTGTGTAAACCTCGATGAAAAATTTAGAACTTTGTACTCTATATTACTACACAATCCAGATAATGCTGCGTCGAATCTTACTTTGCAGGCCCTTGGTTGTCTACTGTTTCGCATATCCTACTTCAAGTCTGCATTTGATGGCGAATCGAAGCTACAAATCTTGAACGGGAATTACCGGATTCCAGAATCACCAAAATACAGCTCGTCCATCGTAGACCTTATTCGGGACATGCTACAATCTTCACCAGATGCCAGACCAGATATCACGCAGGCAAGCGCTTTGCTTGATTGGACATTCATCTCCATGAATTTAGGTTAGTTGTAGATAAGCGCTGCCCATAAGAGTAAGAAGGGCTGACTATACTCTAATGCTTTCTCATGCCCTCCCGTCTCGTTTGTGGCAGGTATGGTTCCGTGTTAACAACCTGTTACCTGACGGGCTACAGAAATCATTGCCCGATAGATCTCCTGAAATGATGCTACAGAGTACGGATTTGCATGAAGGTGAGGACTGAGACCGCTTTGTTATATCCGATCATTGTTTTGACGTATTTGAGTATTGCAATATTGAAACCAGCTTGGTTGGCGTGAGTGGCCGTACACTCTTGTCCCTTAAGAGAGGTCGGGAGTTCGAACCCCCTCTCGTATGGAGTAACCAATCTGGCCAGCACTTTGCCCCTGTGCGAACGGGGATTAGTTTGAGTATGGTACGGGCTTAAAGGTGCCTCCTACAGTTAGGGCCTGTTCAGGACACCTCGTGGTCTGACAAAAAAAAAAAGCCTGTACCAGGAAACCAGCTTGGTTGGCGTGAGTGGCCGTACACTCTTGTCCCTTAAGAGAGGTCGGGAGTTCGAACCCCCTCTCGTATGGAATAACCAATCTGGCCAGCACTTTGCCCCTGTGCGAACGGGGATTAGTCTGAGTATGGTACGGGCTTAAAGGTGCCTCCTACAGATAAGGCCTGTTCAGGACACCTCGTGGTTGACAAAAAAAAAAAAGCATTGCAATATTGTGGTGAGATTATTTAAGCGATATATATATATACAGAGCTAGACCGATAAGTATAAATTCTAGCTCTAGTTATAAGAGCTCAGACTTCCAAGGTGATATATTTCAGGTATTCCAAGAACTGCGAGCAAGTCTAACCCAGTACCTCGAAGAACTGCACCGCCTCCCCCGGCTGCCACAGATGTAAATCGTAATCCATCACCGTCTCATAATCCCGGGATGGCTGGGGCGGGGGCTGGTGGCCCTCTAGGTGCGTTTTGGAACACTCAGCATGCAAAGGATGCTGCCCCAGACGACAAAACTAGACCGAAATATGATGAAGAATTGACTAGCTATGGGTCACCAAGAAACGATAGAACTAGCCCTTCTAAAGCAGCAGTCAACAGAGCGAGGGATGCGTCTTCGAAGGATTTTGAAATAAATTTTTTCCCTAATAGTTCTGGCCAAAACGATGAAAGTCCCCATACATCTAAAAAGCCGGAGGGCGTGCCAGTTCAGGGTGACAAATTCAACGCCTTTATTGCGGAATTCAGTAGCACTAAACAAAGTTCTGGGAGTAAGAATACTGGGAAAGAGGATCTATTAGAGGCTGAGGTTGAAAAGCTGAAGGAACAGCTAACACATACCAACATGGAGAAAGCTGAAATTACGTCGAAATTTGAAAAACTATCTGCCATATGTAGGTCACAGCGGCAGGAGATACAAGAACTCAAGCAAGCCCTCGCTGCTAAAACTCCATCACCAAATCGAGATACCTTGAGAAACCAATCATCTCCTAAAAGTCAAACATTCAGTACCCCCCCACAGGTACTCTCTCGCTCTCTACTTTTTTTTTTTTTTTTTGCTTGTAGTTCAGAATGCTTTAGGTTTCTGCTAGACTTAATACCCAATTTAGTCATCGACTAAATCGAGAAAAACCACTAAAGTCAAGAACTAAATTGGGTAAAACCACTATAGTCGATGACTGAATTGGGTATTAATAGAGGCTAAATTGTTAACCAGCTTGGTTGGTTTGAGTGGCCGTGCACTCTTGTCCCTTAAAAGAGGTCGGGAGTTCGAACCCCCTCTCGTATGGAAAAACCAATCTGGCCAGTACTTTTCCCTTAATTGGGCCGACCCGGTGCGGACAAGGATTAGTCTGAGTATGGTACGGGCTTAAAGGTGCCTCTTACAGTTAGGGTCTGCTGACCATAAAAAATAGAGGCTAAATTGCCTAGCTATCCAAGCATAGACTCAATTAGGCAAAACCGTCGAAGTCCAGGATCCAATTAACCAAAAAAGACGGTTTAGGACTAAATCGAGAAAAACCACTAGTCTATAGGACTAAATTGGATATTAACTCGGTTTCTGCTACTTCTGTTGCAGCAGAGGGAAACCATTGAAGGAACTGTCTGGGAACTGCAACAAGGCCTGTTGAACCAGAGCTCCTCAAGCCCAGATCCCTCGGCATGGCAGGCCTTTGCTGACGATGGTCCTAAACCGCTCACAACTCCTCCTCCCAGCAACACTCCACGGTCTATGAGAACAAGGAATAACCAGCCACCGAATACGCAGGATTCTACTGCCAGCGCTTGGGGATTCGGGACCGATAGTTTTACAGCAGTTCCTTCTGCTACCTCTCAGATGAACGCTTCTTTCAGTGATCGAAACAATTCCCAGCGTTTTGGCGACAAGCGCGTGGACAACAAATCGGCATCCCAACCTGCTGGATGGGCAGGCTTCTAGGCAAGTGCCCTTTGCCAAGATGGAGTTTGGGAAACAGTTTGAGGTCACCTGCTTCCTAATAGAACATGATTTTTGTCTTATGAAAGAGAACATGGCTGTGATAACAATAAAAGTATAGTAAAGGAAAAGAAAAAGAATTGAATGGTGGTGGTGGTCTGAGGTTGTGGTGTTGAATGTGTTGTGTAGAGATTTGGTTATATAATTCTACTCTGTTTATTACATTTCTACAATACTCTATGCTATTTTACATATTTCTAATTTCTCAGTATTTACAGGACAGTTACTATAACTCTTCAGTTGCATCATAAAACAAAACAAAACAATCAATGGCCATATTGCACAGCAGTTGGACATTTTTTCTTCTTTCTATCAAAAGTTGAATCCCTAACCCCAAAGGCCCCCCCCCACCCCTACCCGACGAGCATTTGGGAGGATGTAAATCCATGTGACTCAATGGCTCAGCAGACAGGGCTAAATGTTGATTTGAACAAGGGATCTGCCCACTTTGGGCATAATCTCTACACTGTCACCACCGAAGTTTAAACCTTGGTGTCTTTTCTCAAATACTGTCTATTGGACCTTGGTGTCTTTTCTAAAATACTGTCTATTGAACCATTAAGCTAAGTCTGTGTGTACGAGTTGGACATTTTTTTTAAATACTACAACAGTAAAATAAATATGTTTCGATGAGACAAATCATGTGAGTATGTAAACTACACAAAATTACAAAGTGCATCTATAATATACGTGAAAGTATAATTTAAGAACTGATGCACTTTTTTTTTTTTTTTTTTAAATTCACTTTGTAGTTTTGCATAGTACACCGATGTACTCACATAAATTATAATAATATATAATTTTTTTATATTTATTATAAGTATATATATAAAAACATCATTATATATAAAATTTTGATCATTGAAAATCTCCAAACTTAAGGGAGTCTTGTTCCTGTATGCTCGGTGCTCACAATCAATTAGGTCAGATGTTAATTGGACATTTGGACCATTCAAGTCAATGCCATATTAATTGGATTATTAGATTAACTTTTTACCAGCTGGTTATTTGTGTTAATTATTGAGTGATAATTATTAATTAATGATGATTTTTAGTAAAACCTTATATTGGGTATATTGATAAATATTGAATTTATTAAGTGATAATGTTGGATTTAAATATTTGATAAACATTGATATTATCAAACAATTTAAATTTAAATATAGATAATATCAAACACTTATTCAAGTGAATTTATAGTATTATTATTCATACTGCTAAATTTTGTGTTTACACAAATAGACAGAAAGCTCAGCATAGAGAGAGATATATGATAAAACATCCTAAATTTATACGAAGTATTAATTTTTGTAAAGAAATAAATTAGAAAATAGAATAAATGAAACGAAGCGGGCCAACCCAAATCTCCGAACCGAACAGGGAAAAAACGAGTCGGATTTCAATCCCAAAAATTAACCCGATTTGACAAAACAATTTCACGTCCGCATTTCCCCCAACCCATTCTCCCCTCCCGTCTCCCTTCTCTATCTGACTATCTCGCTGAATCACAGAGTTGAATCGCCTGTTTCTAAACCCTAACTCCTCAATCGCACCGTCGTAGCGCTCACGCTGTCTCTCTTTCAACTCCGAGATTCCAAGTATCTGAGCTTTTTCGCTACTCCGCACTTTTTTTTTGTCGAAAACTTTTTACGAAGCCTAGCCAGCCAGCTAGGGTTCTTGCTGTTTTGTTAAAGTTCAGCTGCAAGCTGGCTATGGATTACGGGGCGTACGACAGCAGCGGTGAGTAGTAATCCAGTTGGCACAACAAAAGATTTGAATTTTGTTTTTTTTTTTTGGAGTGAATTTTTAGGGTTGTGCACTGTGGCTCTGGGGCTACCTTTTATGATTTTCTGCATGCGTTTTAGGATTCAATTCTTGAATTCATTTCAAAAAGGAAACTCCTTTTGAAAATTATCCTCAGTTGTGTGTGTGTTTGTAGAAATGTCGGCCCAAGATTCCTACTATTCAGTGATAGCTGGAGATTTGCCTGTGTAACAATGAGAGGGGCAATTAGACATTAGAAGTTTGTCTCTGTGTTTTACCATTGAATCTACACTTAGTAGGAGACAAGTTGGATTAGACATTTTTTTAATCTATGCTTTCACTGGGATTCCTTCATGGATACTTTGACATAAATGGCATGAGGTGTACAAAATTGTACATGTTACACTCATTGTTTTCTTCCCTGTAGGGACTGATGATGATCTTCCTCCCTCACATCAAAATAGAATTCCTAGAGGAGGTGGGCCAGGTGGCCGCATTGCTGGTAATGGAAGATCTGCTGTCATGGCTTCTGTCCCTTATCCTAAAATGTATGGAGAAACTGATATGGAGGCTCAAATCCACCAGCTTGAGCAAGAAGCATACAGTTCAGTTCTGAGGGCCTTTAAGGCGCAGGCCGATGCCATTACTTGGGTACACTTTATAGTAATTTTTTTTTTATGTGAATCTATTATTTCATGTTTGTTTCATCAGGTTTAAAGGAATCCTCAACATAATGTATTTTCTTCAGGAAAAGGAAAGTTTGATAACTGAGCTTAGGAAAGAACTGAGATTGTCAAATGAAGAGCACAGGGAACTTCTTGGCAGAGTCAATTCTGATGATGTTATCCGAAGAATACGGTTAACTACCACCTCATTCCTACTTCCTTTACTTCCCTCCTTTCTGTCCTTTGAGTTCGTGGCATATTTTTTGTCCGGTGGTGCTTTGATATGCGTCAAATTTAAGTTTTGGTGTTGATCTTTACCTATTTGGTTAGGGAGTGGAGACAGTCTGGTGGGCATCAGCAAGGAATGATCAACACTGGTCAAGCCGTTCATGATCCAGTACCCAGTCCTTCAGTTTCAGCTTCTAGAAAGAAACAGAAAATGCCCCCTTCTTTACCATCTCAATCCTTTGGTGGGCCGTCAGCCAGTTTTCATCCACAAGCAGTGGCTACACAGAACCAGCCATCTTCATCAGCTGCAAAGAGAGGGCCTATGATGGGGCCTAAGGGGAAAAAACATAAATCTGTAAGCTGAATTAGAGCCTCCAAAGTTTATGTGGTTTATTTATTCGGCTTGGTGTGTTTCTGCTGTCTAACATTTTCACAGGGCCAGATGCTGCCTGGAAGTAAAATGCAATATCCTCCATCTGGTCCTTCTGGAAGAGGTCAGTTTGGTAATCGGATTTCTCAACCTGCTGAGGGAGGTTCATATGATCCATTGGTTGGGAGGAAAGTGAGGACTAGATGGCCTGATGACAATAATTTCTATGAAGCTGTCATTACTGATTACAACCCAACTGAGGTATTCCTCACTTCAATTTCTTTTTCATGGAGTTGCTTTTAGGATGTGTAAGTGCTGAATTTGTTTTTGTTTTTGTTTTGGGGTACCCTCTTCAGGGACGACATGCTCTTGTTTATGACATGGGCACCACAAATGAGACATGGGAATGGGTCAACCTATCAGAGGTAGTTAAATGCAGTAGAATGCATTTAATTATGAGATTTTCTGACTTTTAATATTTGGAAAGATTTTTCTTTTATTAGTTTCTGGTAAACCATTATTCTTATTGACATGTAATTCATGCCATATTTTCTATTATAAAGCCTACTGCATTGTTTGACCGTGATAGAGTATGGTCCAAAGTTGACTGGAAAATTCTCTTTAATAGTCTGCAATAGAGAATGATCATATTGGGTATGCAGAATGTCTTCTCATGGTCTCAAAATCATCTTTTGTAGAACCCTGCAATGAATTTCTTTCATGACTATTTCTTGCAGCTGTCTACCCTTAAGCTCAGTTTACCCTTGTGATAATTGATAATCTTAATAAACTATTTGACTGATGCCATGGAAGGCACTTATTTCTCCATACAAAGCTATTGAATGACAAGTCATTCAAAGCACCTTTAGAATTGTTATGAATTATGACACAAGGCCAGCAGGCTATTTAAGCCATGATTTAGTAAGCTTTTTGGTTTACCTTTGCAAAATAAGTATTTTACGTCTTGTTGTTTATGCCATTTGTACCCTCTTCCCAGGCAAGTTGGGCTTGCTAAATTAGACATCATAAAAATATTAAATGTGGAAGAAGTTGACGATTAAGATTTAAATGGAGAAAAAAAAGTAATATGGATGCATTCTCATTGGTTGCAATGCTATGGTGCTCTACTGTATTTTGATTTTAATGCTCAATTGCTTATTGAAGTCTGGTCTTTAGTTTAAACTGATGACCAGGTAAACCTCTGCTTAGTTTTACATGAGTGTATCATGTTTGCTGACTTCTTTTCTTTATTTTTTTTTTTTTTCAATAACTTCCATCTTACATGACATGCTTGGTTTAGTTGATGCACCTTCACTTATGCTTTGGAGTTATATTCTTGCCCTATCTAATATAGGAAAATAGTTGCTTATTTCATAAGATCGCTTGGGTTTAGACCTAGTTTGTCTTCCCTGACAGATTTCTCCAGAGGATATACAATGGGACGAGGGACCTGGCCATGTAGTTAATAGGGCTATTGGTCGGGATAGTGCTCCAAGTCTAGGGAGAGGTCGGGGGTTGACTAAATCTCAATCTAGAAAGGACTTTCCACCATCACAGAATGGTATTGGAAAGAAAGGCATGGATGATATTCAGTTACTTCACACGGATACATTAATTAAGGAGGTATGTAGCAGCAGTTTGATGCTTATATATATATATGTGTGTGTGTGTGTGTGTGTGTGTAGACTTTAGATTTCTCACCATTGTGGTTTTTGATTGGCTGGTGAATTTGGCTAGGTGGAGAGGGTATTTGGTGTCAGCAATCCTGATCCTCTAGAGGTTGAAAAGGCAAAGAAAGTGCTTAAGGTTAGAAGTAAATCTGAATGTTGATTACTTGTTACTGGTCTTTCTTTTATTGCACATTGATACTAATTTATCTGGTGCAGGAGCATGAACAAGCACTTATAGATGCTATTCAAAGGCTAGGAGAGATTTCAGATGGCGAAAGTGGTAACTTCACTTCAAACCCTCATGGTTTCTATTTTTCACTTATCTGTCTACAATTAATTTCAAACTTTTGGTCTAAATTATATTTTTTTTTCATTTATCATTGTACAGTTACTTTAAAATTCTGGATCTAAGTTCTACTTCCTTTGATGGTTTTTGTTATTCTTATTCATGATAAAATCTCTACTAAGTACTCACGGGCTAAGCGGCATTTGGCACCTTAGACACATAAAGATCTAAAAGGCATCCTATTTGGTTTTCTATCTATCATGTGGTTTCTTTTGATATTACTTCTGTTGTCTTAAGTTTCATCTCATCTATGGTCAACTTTAATAATTGTTGCTAAAGCCAATGCATTTGAAATCCTTGGCGAAGTTGTTTTAGTGTTCAAGCATTTTTAAATCTAGTTAACTGGAATATGGGCACCTGAATTGCTGAATCATTGGGAGTTAGGTTTTCTATAATTCTATTTCCTAACATGTTTGCTATGCGCTCAAACTCATTTTTAATTTGCACTTAGTTTGTGCATTTAGTGCAAAATGTCACCAACTTCATAGCATGTGATGGCATGGAAAGTAGAAAAATGGGCATTCTTTAAAATACCTGAAAGCACTTGTTTTGTGTTGATGCTGCTAAGGTTCTAGGCATGGTATTGAAAGCCATGGGAACCTTTCTCATAGAACCTTACAACACTGAATTCATTCTACATACATGTATTTGACTTATCTCCGTGTGGTACCTTGGCACCTTGAGAATGGAAACTTTTGTTATATTAAGGGCAGACCATATTTGGGCTCCTTGGATTAATGCTTTGCCATTTTGTGATGATTCATCTTTATAAAATGTGTTTGATTCATATAATGAATAGAAATAGGAATAGTATTCAATTGTTTGGTTCACAGAAAGAATTACATTCAAGTGTTTAGTTGGTTTAAGTAATTCAAAAGAAATAAATAGTCACACGACAAAAATTCTCATACCAAATATAGTCTGTGTGTGTGTGCACGTGTTGGTATTGGTGGTGTGTGAGTATGTGGTGGGTGGGCGGGTGGACAGGCTAGTATGGTGTGGCATGCATGTTTATGTATACAAAAAGGACATTTTTGGTATTATGAACAATTAGTTATGATTGAGAAGTCAAGAATAGTTAATACCTGTGGGGTCTCCTAAAAATAGCTATTCCGGTGTCAAAGGAAACCAGCTCATCACACAGAATTCTATTTCACAAAATAGAAAACAACGCACAACAGAATATTATTCCATTACTGACTTCTTTTGTGTGTGCGAACCAAACATACTACGAGTGTTTATTGCCTTTGAGGGTGGTGTACTGGCGTTCTTATTACTTGTGGATAATATTCATTATTATCGGATTGCCCAGTATTGATTTGAGCTGAAAAATAGTACTCGTTACTTTCTTGCATCTATTTCTGTTTGCATCTACATGTTGACCAAATCCTAATCAATATTTAAACTTTCACGTTAAGATATTTCATATTATATCTTTGTCGCTATGTTCATGATTCTTGAATCTGATTCTCTCATTTAACAGATGAACGTGGTCATTTCATGCATGGGCAAGAATGATGACGTGATGACCTGATGGCAATGACTAGCATTGTAGTTGGGGGGAACTATTTAAACTAATGGAGCAGGGATATATCAGGCTTTTGGTGGGTTTTCCAGTGTTTAAAATGGCAGAATGAATGTTAGGCATGTTGTATGATGCCACCTTCAAGTGTCACTGTACTAACAATGATCCTTTTAGTGTTAGGGTTGGGTGAATAGGTCAACTTGAAGATTGTTTTCTATAGTGGCTGTTTAGTGCCTTTTGTAAAATTGTTACGGTAGAGATTAACATGTGATGGTGTACAAATTTATTTTTTATTTTTGGTTTATGTTGACAAAATGGATGCTTTGCTTCTCTATATTTGCCTGCTATTCTATTAGGTAAAAGGAAAATAGCACATAAAATAAGACAAAAAAAAAAACAATTTGTATTCATTGTGCACTCATGATGTGGCGGAACGAAATTAGCGCACCAATGTTTTAAAAGTTGATGACATTAATTTCATCTCGTCACGTCAAGAATGAGTGTAACGTAATTTCCACCAAAAACATAGTTAATCCCCAAATCTGATTTGTTCTAGGAGGATTTGAATTGTGTGTGAAACAAGCCTATCTAGTACAGTACGGCACTAAATAATTTACACTAAATTAAGGTGTCCTACACTCGAGTTTTAGCTCCTAATGCGTTTCTTTGGTCGTTTGGAATAATCATCCTTGTCTTGTTCCTTCACAAGCTTGTCGGACGCTGCATCTCTCCGAGGTCGCCCCACTCTCCTTTTTACTGGAAAGCTCTCCTCCTCCTTGGACTTTTTTGCGGCGTTTTGCCTCGTGGCTGGGCCGTCTTTCTTTTTCGTGGCATTTCTCTTCAGCTGTCTCCTCCCGTCGCGCGGAGTCTTCTTTTGCGTATCCATCGACGACGTCTCCTTTGTAGGGGAACTCTTATTAATCCTCTTCAAGAAGTCAGCGGCCTTTCGCTTCTTGTCTATGCTACTAACTTCTTCTTTCTTCTTCTTCTTCTCCGCCTTTGCAACTTCTTCTTCTTCTTCTTCTTCTTCGTCGGGTTGTTTGGTAGGTTGTGAGTGGTTCAGGTTCAGGCGGCCTTTGCTAGTCCTCCTCATGCTCCGCACACGCGTCACAGGCGACCTTTCTTTCATCTTTAGCTTCGCGAGGCTGTCGTCTTCCTTTGGACTCGTGTCATCACCAGGGGCTGCAGTAGCTTTAGCTGAAATGGAGCTCCTCCTGCGGCATACTACAATAGGGGCCGCCGTTGTACAACGAAGCAAAGAATCGGAGCTATCTTGTTCGGGGTCGGGTTGAGCCTTGGTGGGAGGAGGAGGCGTCGTTGATGATGATAATGGGGTTTGGTTGTTCATGTTCTTGATCTTGAGCTCCTTCATGACAAGGCTGCGGAGTTGATGGGCTGCTATCGACTCCGGAGATGACTTGGGGAAGAAGACAATGGCGTTGTTGAAGAGCAGCAAGAGATCCAAGTAGAACTTGGTGGAGCAGGAAGAGTAGGAGCCGTCATCTATCCGCGCTTGAACCGTTTCAAGATCAACGTGCCGCCGGATTATGCTCTTATACTTGGCTGTTTTCTGCATTTTTTTTTTTTAATTATAATACAAAGTTAGTGCTGACTATTATAATCTATTTGTTACGTGCAGTGGGTGGACAGTTATACCTTTGTAGCCTATAGGTTTGTTTTAAATCTAAATAAATCATATGAACTCCTCAATTATTTATATGAAAATACTTTTTGACCTTACTCCTCAAAAGATCATAAGAGGTAAGGTTCAAATTAGAAGAGAAAGCATTATGCAGTGACATACTTGACAAAAATATCAATGCAATTATATGGACAGATCATAAACATTGACCCCACAATAAGTTGAGAATTATTGCATTAAATAACAAAATAAAAAATTATATATTTTAAATTTAATAAAATTTATAGAAATGTTATCGAAAATAAACAAAATATTAATTGATTCTAGTAAAATGATATAATAATTGAGTTATAAAGTGTTCCTTTAATACTCAATTTATCTCATTATTTTCTCATTTATGACCGGAATAATGTGACTCCCACGTGCACCCATCTCATTTATAATTTAATTTTTTGTAATATTTAATTTGGTATTACTGTATAAAACATAAAGAGTATATATTTATAAACTACTTTAAAAGTATTATTAAATATAAAAAGAATCAATATAATAAAACATTAAAGAAAATAAGAAAAAAATGGATAGGTTAGTAAGTTTGTTTGATCAATAGAAATGTAAAATAAAGAGTATTTTAAATAAAATTGTTATTTAATATCTCATCTTGATATGACATTATTTAATTTTTTTAATAAAATAATTTTTTTTCATTAGTGGACTGTTGATTAATTTCATGGTTAACTAATTATTAGGAAGTAATTTTAGAGAGAATGTTATTGGGTAGTTGGTTTTCTTTTTAATTTTTAATTTTTTTTTCATGCAAGGTTTCCTGAACTGTTATTACCTAACATGACCGTTGAAGAATAACAATTAGGTAAAATGCCCCTTTTGGATCTTTAAGTGGTCCCCGACGGTCAAATCAATCAGAGGCTTTAATTAACGGTAGATCTTAAACGATAGAAATTATAGCTAACCGATGTGCGAAGCATGGGATTATTACCTGAACCTGGAGCCGGCGCTTGAACACCGAGCCATGTTTGTGAGACCGGATAACATCTAAAAGCCTAACCAACGGTTCTGATTTCACTGCGCCCGCCCGTTTGGCGGGAGACCACATCGCTGCCACTTGTTCTCCGCCGGCCGCTTCCCCTCGCTTCCGCCGCTTCATCTTTAAGCAGGCGGAGCTTTCCACGTCACTGCCTTCCTTCCTCTCGTCGTTTGGCACGTCATTGCCTTTGCTTTCCTGACGTGTCTTGGACGCCTCGTGCCGATCCGAACTATCTTTGCACGAGTTCTCCCTGGCCGGCTTTGCCTGCGGATCCGGTTTAGTCTCGGTTACGTGAACCGGATCCGGTTCACGCTTCTCCACGGAATTCGACTCGTTAAACGAACGGTTTTCATGGGCGGAGTTACCGCCGGAGACGACCTCCCCTACGATTCCATCTAGCTTCTCTCCTCCGCCGTCCGTCGCATCGTTGGCCGAATTCTCCTTTCTACCGTCCTCCAGATCTGGCTTCATGGCCTTTTCCTGCCTCTCCTTCATGCTCTGCTCTCTCTCCTCCTCCATCCGCTTCACTTTCAACTTCAAAGACCTGTTCAGATCAAATCTCTACGTCAGATCCGTAAACAAAAAACTTTTCTACGTAAAATTTTTTTCAAAAAAAATAAAAATCACAGAGAGATTCATTTACTGGATCGAGAGATCGCGGTGATGGACCTCTTGTTTGAGTTCGGCGACGCGGAGCTGCCGCAAGTCCTCGAGCCAGGGAATAACGACGTCGCCGCCGCCGCCACCTCTACCGTCGTCCTCCTCGACAATCGTATCGCTATTGGTGAAACGACGTTGGAGGTCGCGGTATTTCTCTTCGCAAATTTGAGCGGTGAGGAGGGCAGGCAAAGAGCTCCGGTTCCGGAGCTCCATAGCCACGGAGTCCCAGTCCTTGAGCCCGTGCCGCTTCACGGAAAACGCCAACAACAGCTCCTCCCACGTACTCCATGCGGTCTTCTTCTGCGTCTCCGCAATCTTCGACATGACAATTACTCCTTTTCCTTTCCCCCTTAGAATAATAACCAAACAATTTATATACATACGTCCAATTTTATGCGCATATTAAACCATGTTAAATCAGATTAGGGTTTATCCGTTTCTGGTTTGTCTATCGTCTTCGTCTCCTAATATATTGAATTCTCTATTTTGGAGTTTCTAATTCTTGTGGGTTTTTGAATGGGAGGAGAAGAGGAAAGAATTCGGCTTTGGGTTTAGCTTTGTGGGTTTATATATATAATTTATATTTATATGTGCAGCCATGGGCCTGATCTATTGCACGCTACTTGGTTTTCATGGAGAGTGGTTGACTATATTGCCCTTGTATTGCTTTCCTTTTTTTTCCTTTCTCATGTTCATATTTTAAATACATTGTATCTATATATTCTTTATTAATCCGTCTATTTTATAATATAATGGATAAAAATTCACAACAATTAAGTACAATACTTAATAGGACATGATTTCTCATGACACTAATCAGGACTGAGAAAGGGATTGAATAATCTTATCAACTTACCGTTGTCTTTGAGTTTAATAAGCAAGATACGAACCATGAACCTAATGACGAACCATGAACCTAATGACTTATAAAGATTAGTTCGTGGATAGAGACAAAGTGCGACATTCCTAACCCTAGCGGGCTTGACAATAGTTTAAATATAGTTATATTTATTAGAGGTGAGCAAGGATTCGCTCTAATCTGTCAAATCCAATCCGATCCAATTTGTATCCACTTAAAGTGGATTAAATACATATGTGATTTCTAAAAAATTCGTTATCCCATCAGCTATGCTAATCCATTACCAAAACGTTGTAGTTAATATATATATATATATATATATATATATATATATATATATACTAGTCTTTTCTATGCGCGATGCGCAAAAACATATGTCCAATATTTATATTTTTAAAAATAGCTAACAAATTTTTACTAATTATAATCTAAGTGAAATAAAATTTATTTATTATATTAATCTAATATATAATGAATATATAATGTTTTACAAATATTGTTATAATTAAAGAATATAGGAAAAGATATGGTAGATGCTTGTGCATGGTAAAAGTAATGGAAAAGATAACGGAAGTTATAACGGGGTAAGGGTATTTTTGTCCAAAAAATTGTATAGTACAACTCTAAAAGCACAATGTACAAAATGTTTAGCATTAAAAACATGGACATAAATGAGGGGTATAACTTTGATTATATATATATATATATATATATATATATATATATTGTGTTCAAATGAGGATCACTCCTTATGTGAGAACTTGCAGAGTATTGAATAAATACACAATTTACTCCGTAATTGCACACAATTTAAGTAGATTGTGTGTATTCGTATAGTAGATTGTATTAAAAGTTAGATATTTGAGTTTTTTTTTGTTTGTATTAAATGCTTGAAAATTGATTTTTTTTTTAAATATTTGAAATCTTATATTATAAATTATTTTATTTTTGAGTACTACAATCTAACATATACATAGTATTTGGCCAATATGACAATGCCAACATTCTTGATTGGGATAGGACTTGAACCGATGTTATCAGATCACAAGGTACTTGACAATTAATTTATTTTATAAACTTAAAATCAGCCATTCGATCTACTATTAGTAGATCAGATCGGATTGGATCTGTATCATTTGAGGATGTGAATGAAAATTTTAAAATTCACCTTCAGCGGATTGGATGCGTATTCACTCTAAATCTGCTCCACGCTCACTCGAAATATTTATATTATATATTTCTTATGTCTCACTTATGTGTTGGTTCGATTAATGATACTTAATTGAAAATATTTTATAATTTAATTTTTCAAAATATTAAGTTTAATATTAGGGGCCCGCAAACTCAACCAAAATGGTCATATCAATTCTTGATAGTGCCACACGACTATATCTATTTTACCAATAATGTAAGACTCTTGTAAAAGTCAGAAAAATATGGTAAAACACACCCGCTGAATCGACAATATCCTAAAAAAGATGTCTAATTACTTTAACAAATAATTAGAAGACGGAAAACCATTCACCGAATGTGTAGTTTAGTTTTTCATAACATGTTAATCATTTAATTTACTTGAATCGAAAAAAATTACAATAATAAACTAACTAATCACCTATAAGCCTCCCTAATTCTAGGGTTTCTCTCTCAAATATTCTCCCTGGAATCTAGGGTTTGGCTTACCTTGCATGCGAACGGCGATCAGACAGCGGGATCTGCAACGATGGATGTTCAGGCGATCATTGCTTCAACTGCGGACATTAGTTTGGAAGAGGAGGAGCAGGGAGTACGGTTCGAAGAGGAGGTTTTCGGTGGTGCGCAGCAGGTTGCGGAACGGCGTTCATGGACATTAGTTGGCCGCTTTCTTACCGACCGGAATTTGAAGGTGGATATAATGAAGCGTGTGATGGCTTCAGTATGGCGTCCGCTTATGGGGATTGAGATTGCAGACGTGCTCCCCAATCTGTATCTCTTCACTTTCTTCGACGAGGCGGATATGCGAAGGGTGGTTGATGAGGGCCCTTGGGCGTTCGAAAACGCTACGTTCCTATGCCACGAACTGAAGGCTGATGAAGACCCGACACAGGTGGTGCTAAATACCGTAGAATTCTGGCTGCAGGTTTACGATATTCCCCCGGGTTTCCGTACGGTGAAGGTTCTTGAACGAATTGGAGACTTCGCCGGGGTTTTCTTAAGCTACGATGAGCGAAATTTTCAAAGGCATTGGATTGCGTTTTACCGGGTACGTATTACTCATGATGTCACTACTCCGTTAAAACGACGTATGAAAATGATCTTAAGGGATGGGACATGGACTTGGATTAATTTTCGTTATGAGAGGTTGCACATGTTTTGCTTTTTTTGTGGTATTATGGGGCATACGGACAAGTTCTGCTTAGCGGCTCGTCGGTCTTTATTAACACCGGAGCAGTTTCCTTTTGGTCCAAGTCTGAGAGCGGGGGGTAACAGTCCGGCAAAGGTGTTGGGCGAGAAGTGGTTTAAGCTGGGGCAAGAGAGGAGGAGGGAGATTGGGTTTGGAGATGGTGGTTCGGGACAGCGTGGTATGGCAGTGGGAGGTCAGGCAGTGGTTGCGGCTGGGGGTAGGGCAGTGGGGTTGGGTGTTGGCGGGCAGAATGTTTCGGGTGAGGGTGGTGGTGGGCAGCCGGGGTTGGTGATGGAGGAGGGGGTTGAGGGGGAGAATGTGGGGGTAAGAGTGGATCCTAAAAGACGGAGGACGGAGGGTGGATTGGAGGGTATGTGTGTTGATTCTGATGCATCTAGTTTGGCGGAGCCTGGAGTTCAGGCCCGCCAGTCTCAATGAGTACCCTATTTTGGAACTGCCGTGGCTTGGGCAATCCACGGACAGTTCATGAGGTGGTGGGCCTTGTGTCCAGGAAGAAGCCCGAGTTTGTGTTTTTGATGGAGACGATGGTGGGGGGGGGGGGGGGGGGGGATCATGCGGAGAGGCTCCGTGTGAAACTGGGGTTTGAGGGGTGTTTTAAGGTGGATAGCGTGAGACGGAAGGGTGGTCTTTGTTTGCTTTGGCGTCGAAATAACTGTGCTAGGCTGTTGAACTATTCCCAGAATCATATTGACTTGGAGGTGTCTTTGCCGAATGGGCGCCCCTGGAGGCTTACGTGTTTTTATGGCTACCCGAATAGGGATAGAAGGAGAGCTTCATGGGATTTCTTAAGGTCACTCAAAGGTGCTCCTGATTTGCCTTGGGTGGTTTTAGGGGATTTCAATGACATTCTTATGCAGTCTGAGAAGAGGGGTAGGTTGTCGCATCCTAATGGTTTGTTGGAGGGGTTTGGGGATGCATTGGATGATTGTGGGCTAATGACTTTACCTATGGTGGGGTACCCATTTACTTGGGAACGCTTCAAGGGGACAGTGGATTGGGTGGAGGAGAGGTTGGATAGGGTGGTGACATGTGCGGACTGGCATGAGCTCTTTGATCGGGCAAGGGTGTTTAATTTACAGACAGACTCGTCGGATCATTCGGCTCTTTTTTTGGATATTTATGGGGTAGCGCCATCTATCCGGTCGCGGGGGTTTAAATTTGAAAATGCTTGGCTTTTGGATGATGGCTGCAGGGCGGTGGTGGAGGATGAGTGGTCTGTTTCGGCTGGGATGGGCCTCCAGGCTAGGCTTGAGTCGTGTGGCCGGGGGTTGCGGAGATGGGGGGGAGAGCGTCACCATAGGTTTGGGAAGCGGACTGAGGAGATAAGGAGGGAGATGGGCACTTTACGGGGCAAGTCTGATTCAGGCTCCTTGGCTCGTTTTAGGCTCTTGGATGGCACTCTGAGCTCAGTTCTGGCGCAGGAGGAAGCATTCTGGAAACAACGGGCTAAGCAGCATTGGTTACAGGGGGCTGATTTAAACACGAAGTTTTTTCATAAGTATGCCTCACATAGAAGGAGGAAGAACGGTATTGAGAAGCTGAAAGATGAGGGGGGTGCCTGGCATGAGGGTCAGGCTTTGAGTGCTTTGATAGCTGATTATTACAGGAATGTTTTCACTTCAGGGGGAAGTCCGGGGCCTTTTAATCTTGACACATTACATGCCCGTGTTACACCGCAACAGAATGATGATCTATTACGACCTTTTCAGCCGGATGAGGTGCGAGCCGCTTTATTTGCTATGGGGAAGGACAAATCACCGGGACCGGATGGAATGAATCCGGGTTTCTACCAATCCTTCTGGAATGTTGTGGGTAAGGATGTCACTGACTTTGTTATTGATTGTCTATCTCGTGCTTCTTTTCCCCTTGCTTTGAATGATGCCAATATTGTATTGATTCCAAAGAAGTGTAATCCGGAGTCAGTGTCTGACCTTAGGCCTATTGCGTTATGTAATGTTTTATATAAGATTATGGCCAAGATGTTAGCTAACCGAATGAAGCCGCTTCTGGAGGGTTTAATTTCTGACTCACAGAGTGCCTTTCTCCCAGGTAGGCTAATTTCGGACAATATCCTTATTGCTTCCGAGGTTGGTCACTATCTGAGAAGGAAGCAGTTGGGACAGGTCGGATGGGCAGCCCTTAAGCTGGACATGGCTAAGGCGTATGACAGGATGGAGTGGCCTTTTGTTAGGCAGATGCTACTCGGGTTGGGTTTTGATGAGAGGTGGGTGCAGTTGATTATGTTATGTGTCCAGACAGTACGGTATAGAGTCCTGGTGAATGGTTCCCCAACTGATGAGATTATACCCACAAGGGG